TATTATACATATTTCTGAACACAATGTTGTTATTGCTAGTATCACTCAGCCCCCTGTGAATAGCAAACAGCCATCAGTGTGCTAATGATCCATCGTTAGGCTGATGGTCCTCCTTGATCATGTGAGCAGCTGGTTTTGGCTGTCAGCAGCAAACTGGTTGATCCACTATGACAAGGTGCTATTTATAAGACTGAGATGAATACAGCACCTCAGACTGAAGAAGTCTTTTGGATGAAAGATGAAACGTTTCAATTTTCAAACAATTTTTGTTTGTTTTGTTTTTTTGAATGTCCAGAGGACCCGATATTTTTTTTTTTAGATATTTCTGAAGTCTTATTCTAATCTTGTTACTTGTTTTTATTTTTTTATTTTTTTTATGGCGTGTGCTGCTGCCTGTTCTTGGTCAGGTCACCCTTGTGAAAGAGGTCTTGATTTCAATGGGTTTTTATCTGGTTGAATAAAGGTTTAATAAAAAAAAAAAAAAAAAAAAAATAAGAGAAAGGCGCTATATTATAAGTACAGTCCCTAAACCTTTTTCAGGAGTGGCTGTGGCTGAGTGGTTAGAGCAGTCATCCTCCAATACGAGAGTTGGGGGGTTAATTCCACCAGCAGTCACATGCCGAAGTGTAACTGGGCAAGACACTGAACCCCTAAATGTCTCCGATGTGTGTCCCGTTGGTGTATGAATGTGATAAAACATTGATTATTCTTTGTATGTATATATATATATATATATATATATATATATATATATATATATATATATATATATATATATATATATAGTAGAGTGCTGTATGAATATCTTGATCAGATAGAAAAGCGCTATATAAGTGCAGTCCATTTACATTATAAAGCTAAAAAATATCTAATAATTTAGAATTGTACAATTTAAGACAAATGAAAAGACCTAATTCTTGTAGGGGGGTGGGGGTATTTTTTTAATTGATAAAAACTATGAACTATGCAGACATATGTATTTGTTTTTAAATTGTGTAAAAATTAAGTATAGAAATACAGTATAAAAATTAAAGTGAGTGTTTTATTCCTTGCACATGTTCCAGCAAAAGAATTGACAGGAAAATTGCTAAAACTAGTATATATATATTTTTTTTTTGTAATTTGTATAACAACCAATACAATTAAGTTTTATGTTAGTTTTGGTCTAAGTTTGAAAGAGCCACTGCAAAGGAACCCAAGAGCTGCATGTGGCTCCAGAGCCACAGGTGGCAGACCCCTGTTCATACCCACCTGCTCACAACAGACTCATGTTCAGGATGCTGTTTAATAGATTGTATTTTATTACATTATTATTGTTTAGCGTATATCTTAGATATTTGTATACTGTTTATTTTTTATACTTTATGTTTTTGCTATTTTGGGGTGTAACTGGGACCTTGAGTACACAGGTTCATTCCACCTCATGATGTGCCATGTGATGCATATGACAAAAAAGAACCTTGAACTTTGAAAGGACGTACAACAGGTTAGGCTTGTTACAGATAGAAATAGTCATGTGAAATGAGGAGAGTGTGATTGGAAGATGGAAGGAGTAATATGAGGAACTAGTGAAAGAAGAGAATGAAAGAAAGAAGAGTAGAGGTAATGGAAGCAGTGGATGAGGTAGTGGAAAAGATCTCTGAAAAGAAGGAAGAAGGGGAAAGCAGTAGGACTGATGGCATGCCAGTGGAGGTTTGGAAATGCTTGGGAGAGATGGCAGTGAGGTTTCTGACTCAAATATTCAATTGTACATAAATTTGAGGGTGAGAAAATGCCTGAGGAATGGAGAAGTGTGCTGGTGCCCATTTTTAAGAACAAGGGTGATGTACAGAGTTGTAGCAATTACAGGGGAATTAAGTTGATGAGGAGAGAGTTGTGGAAGCAAGACTTAGAGGAGAGGTGACAATGAGCAGCCGTATGGTTTCATGCCAAGAAAAAGCACCACAGATGCCATTTTTGCTTTGAAGATGCAGATGCAGATGGAGAAGTACAAGGAGGGTCAGAAAGAACTCCTTAGTGTCTGTGGATTTAGAAAAAGCATATGACAGGGTGCCAAGGGAGGAGGTGTGGTATTGCATGA